CTTCTTCCTGCATTACCTTAACTAATCTCTGCTAATTGATCCAAATGAAGAAAATTCCCTCCGTAGCTTTTCATCATCAGTGGTCTCATCCAGGTTCTTAATATAGAGTTTTGCCCCCCAGCACTGCCGAAATCTTTCCTGTTTCAGCTGTTCAGACATTTGCTTTAACTCAGCCTGTCACTCTGCTTTCTTTTGTGCCCGGCCTACAAAAAGCAGTTATCCATTTATGTCCTTTCCATTCATTTCTTCAGCAGCCTTTTTGGCAGCCTCATGGCTATCAAAACTCACAAAGCCAAAAAGCCTTTGGATTTCCCACTGGAATCTGTCATCACCTTAACACCCAGGGTTTTCCCATATTTGCTGAAAACTTCCCTCAGTCTCTCATCATCCATGTCATCTCCGAAGTTTTTGATGTAAACATTGGTGAACTCACTGGCTTTGTTTTGGAGCTCGGCTTCCCGATCTTTGCGGCTTTTGAATCTGCCAACAAACAGCCTGCAGTCCTTAAGCAGTGCCCCATTCATCTCCTGGATGGCCCTGTTGGTGGCAATCTGGTTCTGAAAGTGTACGAACGCATAGCACCTGGAGCTGTGATCATCACTCATCATCTTGGAGGACAGGATCTTCCCAAAAGATGAAAAGTGTTCATAAAGGGTTTTGTTATCAATGGATTTGTCCAGATTCTTGATGAACACGTTCCCAATTCCAGATTTCCTCAAGTAGGCGTCACGCTGAGACCACATGAGACGGATGGATTTGCCCTTTATAGGGTCAAAGTTCGTGGTGTCCGGGGCCTTCTGGGCATCTGCCAGCTGCAGAAAGTTCACGTAGGCATAGCCCAGAGAGCGGCAGGTGACCAGGTCCCTGCAGATGCGGATAGACAGCACGGGCCTCACAGCGCTGAACTTCTTAAACAGCAGGTCCTCGGTGACATCCGCGTGGAGGTCACCCACGTACAGGGAGGCCTGGCGGTACTTGGCACCTACATGCATCTCCTGGCTCCTCACCACCACAAGCCGGTCCCTAAGGAGCTCCTGTTGTGACTTCTGCAGGAGGGTGGCCCGGGCTCATGCGTGGTGGCCTCAGAGTCAGCGCTCTGAGGCCAGGCGATGCGGTTCATTCATGTACAGCTCCCCAGGCTCGGGCAGCACCCTCAGTCAAAAGCCCCTCAGCAACCAGTCCGGCCAACCCTGGAAGGGGGCGACAGAACCTTGAAATCTCAAAGAAGGATTCCTAGGTCAAGCCGGTCCTTCCCGGCCACTTGGTGAGGAATCTTCAAGTGGCGGGCTGGCCCTCCATCTCAGCGTTCTCCACAGCCATTCTCCGGTGGCTGGCTTCTGACTAAAAATAGGCCTCGCTCAGGCCGGTTTAAAGTTACAGCCGCCGGGGGAAAGAATTCCACAAGTGGCGTCTGAGGCGGCGGCCCGGGACGCGGCGCGCGGCCGGCGGGCGCGGGGCGCCGGAGCCCCGAACCGACTGGGACCCGGTCGTGCAGGCGCCACCGGCCGCATGCGCCCTGACCAACCCCGGCCGCTCTCCTCCCTGCAGACCCCGCCTAGAGTTCTTATTTTATCTTTTTTTAATCCTTTTTAAAAATTATATAAGTTTCAGGAATACAGCATTATAGTTCAACATCTGTATATACAACAGAGTGATCACCACCGTAGTCTAGTTACCATCCATCATCGTACAGTTGATCCCATTCACCCATTTCAACTACCCCTCAACTCCCTTCCCCTCTGGTAACCATTAATCTGTCCTATATCTGTAAGTTTGTTTTTCTGTTCTTTTGTTTGTTGGTTGGTTTGGTTTGGGGTTTTTTTTTTAGATTCCACATATGAGTGAAATCATATGGTATTTGTCCTCCATCTGACTTAGCATAATTATCTAAAGGTCCATTCATGTTGTCATACTTGTTTTTATCTTTGTGCATTTTCTTTAGTTTTTATCTTCAGACGCATTTTTCAAGAAATGTTTCAAACATATTGGATGAAATTGATATATAAAGGACATTTGTAAATTAGGGCTTTCTTATAGTTCTTAAGTTCTGTTTGAATTATTTTACCAATATGTCTCTTTCCCCCAAATTTAACTAAGTTCTACAGAGAAAGCGGTCTTAGACTTACTCCTTTTTTGGATACCACATAGTATTTTTTGTAATGATTTATATAGAGTGGTTGGTATTTAATGATTAGTATTTACTGAATTTAATAATAATGGAAATGGGGAAATATGCTGGAAAACATCACTGAGTTGTAACTGATTATGAACTCAACTGTTTTTCCAGTTCCCATTTTGACAAGAAAGGCTTGGTCAGACAACAGCTGGATGCTTTTGATGAGTTTATTCAGATGTCTATTCAAAGAATTGTGGAAGATGTTCCACCTATAGACCTATAAGCGGAAACAGCATGCTAGTAGAGAAGTTGAAGAACCAGTAAAATGGTTATTCTAATAAAGTAACATAAATAAGAGTATTGATTTGAAATTTCAGTCCTTAACTCACCTGGCCTAACAGTTAAAAAAAAAAAAAAGAAGAGGGTCTGTAGGTGTTTTTAGTAGTGTTCTTCTAGTATCATCAATCAGCTCCTGATTTATTCTTACTAATGAAGAGATGCATTTTTGCAAGTAATGTAAAACCCTAATCCTTATTCAGATAGTAAGTATTTAATAGCCAGTAAGACAGAACTCAGAGATATGATAGACTACTAAGAGAAGCAAGCCAGAAATAGTTATATTGCTTCGGAAAAACCTCACTTTTTTTCTTTTACAGTGTAAGGAATCATAAAAGAAAAAGTATGTGAAGGACTTTTTCCCTTGATTATTTGTTGCATGAAATACATTATCATAACAATAGAAGATATAATAAAGGAAAACCATCAATCATATTAGCTGTTTTAATTTTTCTAAGTTCATTGTAGTCTCTGTTTTCATATGCATGTTTTTTTAGCATTGTTAAAATCATAGCAAGGCTATAACTTTATTTAACTTATTTTTTATATAACTTTATTTATTTTTGGCTGCATTGGGTCTTTGTTGCTGCGCGGGGGCTTTCTCTAGTTGCAGTCAGCAGGGGCTACTCTTCGTTACGGTGCACGGGCTTCTCATTCAGGTGGCTTCTCTTGTTGCAGAGCACAGGCTCTAGGCATGTGGGCTTCTGTAGTTGTGGCACGTGGGCTCAGTAGTTGTGGCTCACAGGCTCTAGAGCACAGGCTCAGTAGTTGTGGCACATGGGCTTCGTTGCTCCACAGCATGTGGGATCTTCCCGGACCAGGGATCAAACCCATGTCCCCTGCATTGGCAGGCAGATTCTTAACCACTGCACCAACAGGGAAGTCCCAAGGCTATAATTTTAGAATCTAGTTTTACATGAATAATAATGACTGACCCTAGTTTTTGAGTAGAGAGGCAGCATGATGGGCCTTGAGGGACAGGGAAAACTGAAAAACAAGGGGAAGTAGGGAGAGCCCCAGAAATAGAATTTGACAGAAAGAGAGAATATTACTTCCGGCCAGTTCAGTCCCTCTTTTCTGTAGCTTATCTTGTAAGGGCTGATGTATTATTCTCATTCTGACTGGAGGTGCTGCACAGACTTCTGCTGTTAAGAACAAAAATAATTGGCACTTCTGGCACTGTGTTGGAAAATGGGCATAAAATGCCTTTTTTATACTTAGAGCATTTTCTCTTCATGGTCTTTGCAAAACAAGAGAGACAACAATATTATAATGTAGCATTTTCAAAGTGCCAGTGTCATAAGTACTTATGGAGGAAGAGATGTCTCAAGCTGGTATATCAGAGCCTACAGGAAGAGATGGGAGGGACTTTAACTCTGAAGGGCAGGGTAGGACTTGTCTTAGTAGAGAAAAGATACTTAATCATTTCAGCAAATAAATACTTGGTATATCAATATTTGGCTTGGGGATAGATTTTAGGGTCTATAACAGTATATGATTTTTGGTTTGATTTGTTTTTGATAGGTATTAGTAGAAGATAAGATGAAACCAGATTGTCACAGCCTTTGGATGTCATTGGATGTCAAGGGGAATTGTGGAAAGATTGTCAAAGAATGTGCATGAAGCATTATTTTAGAAAGATTACTTTGGAGATCATGTTTACTTGGCGTGGAGAGGCTGGAGTCAGATTAAAATCTTGGTATAGCTTGGGTTTCAGATAATAATGTCCTATACTAGAGTGATAGTAGAAATGAGTAGTTGGATGGCTGGCTTCCATTTGACTCATTATCACCACCAGTTCTCTATGCTTTTTTCCTACTCCAGTTTGGGAAGCTTGGGTGTCAACAATTTACCTTTAATGGTCTGCTTACTCTCATCTTCTCCTCCTCTGAGAATTGATCTAGAGAGAAATACACTATCCATTTATAATTGGAAAGTTTTCGTGGGTCTTGTTTTATTGGGCAACAAATAGATATGTTACTGAAAACTTTTTTTTTCTGCTAAGGGCTGAGCTATAGTCAGCCAGGGCTAGAAGTATTCAGTCCTTTATGTAGAGTAGTAATTAGGATTTTCTTTATGTTTAATTGAAGAGTTAGGTTTAGTTTTTCTATGTTCTATTGATGAGATTAGAGTATAGTTCTAATTGTCCAAATTTATCTTTTCTTTTTTTCCTGGTAACTGTACTTCTGACCTGAATGAAGGAGAGGGCACATGAAACGGCTGTGTAGATCATTAGTGCAAATCCATTTTAATTGTTTCATATAAATTCAGAGCGTATGATACGTGTATAGTCTTACTTACTTGTGATATATTAACTCTTGATAAATGTTGCTTTTTGTCTTACACCTTAAGAAAGTGATGAAGTATAAAACTTTATGTCTGTGAAATATGGCTGTTGACTTTGGAGAGTACCCATTAAAGTGGATTGATTTAGTCGGTTTATAGAGTTTTTTCTACTCAAAATGTTAATGGTGGTTTAAATGGAATCATCAAAAGTTTTATGGAAAAAAGTTATTCACCCTCTTCATGTTTTTTGGTTTCATTTTAGCCAAGATATTTGCTGAAGTTTGAACAGCTTTACCTCTCCAAGCCCATAAGAGATGGTGCTGCTTCACCAGTGTTGCCACGTGAAGCCAGATTAAGAAATCTCACGTAAGAAAGAGTTATTCCAGCAGCTGATATTGAAATACAGTTTAGAAAATGCAGTTTTAACCAGTTGAGGGTTTTAACAATTACCTTACTATTAACTTGTGATCTGCTTTTATTTTCTGCTCCACTTTATAACAGAAACAGTCATTAAAGAAGGTGAAGAACAACTTCAGATGCAGCATCAGAAAACCTTTATTGGTAAAGTTCCAGTTATGTTGCATTCAATTTACTGTCTACTAAATGGCTTAGCAGATCATGATCTTTGTGAGTTACATGGATGCCTCTTGGATCCTGATGGCTACTTCATTATTAATGGATCAGAAAAGGTATAGTAGCGTTCTTTTTATAAATTTATTTTATTTGTTTATTATTTTTGGCTGTGTTGGGTCTTCGTTGCTGTGCACAGGCTTTCTCTAGGTGCGGCGAGCGGGGGCTACCCTTCGTTGCGGTGCGCGGGCTTCTCATTGCAGTGGCTTCTCTTATTGCGGAGCACAGGCTCTGAAGTGCGCGGGCTTCAGTAGATGTGGCATGTGGGCTCATTAGTTGTGGCTCGTGGGCTCTAGAGCGCAGGGTCAGTAGTTGTGGCGCACGGGTTTAGTTGCTCCGCGGCATGTGGGATCTTCCCGGGCCAGGGCTCGATCCCATGTCCCCTGCATTGGCAGGTGGATTCTTAACCACTGCACCACCAGGAAAGCCCTAGTAGCATTATTTTTTTTAAATTACACAATTGTCATTAAGATTTAAATTATGAAAGTTGAAATTAAAAAGTAAGCTTTTCTATAGAATAATCTGAAAGTGGTAGTTGAATTATTTAGGGGGGTGACAGCTGAATTTATATAAACCAAAGTTTTATTTAGCTGTATATAATACGCACTAGAAATTTGGTCAGTTGTTCAAACTTGTATGTTTCTGTGGAGCATTTTTGCAAAATGGAGTTTGTAAAGTTCAAGAATTGATGTTTCAGTGAGCCTGTATGATGAGATTAAATTAAGATGCAGATTTCACGCTTCTTTCTACTTCAAGGACCTTGTGGGTTTTATGGCTGTAACTTTTATTGTCCATGTAGGTTCTGATTGGTCAAGAGAAAATGGCAACAAACACAACCTTTGTGTTTGCCAAAAAGGATTCTAAATATGCCTACACAGGAGAGTGTAGATCATGTCTGGAGAATTCTTTTGACCCACTATCTGGGTTAGCATGCTGGCAAGAGGAGGACAGGTATGGACTATTACATGATATTGTTTGGGTTTATTCCTGTTGGTCTAGTTTTGTAAGTTACCAGACTGCATGTTTAGTCAAAAAGTTTTTCTGGAGCATATTATCAGTGTTATATGCTAGGTATTTTATTATTTACTTACTACTGTGTAATAAATCACTCCAGTAGCAACATTTATCATCTTACAGTTTCTGGATGTGGCTTAATTGGGTCCTTTAGCTAAGTATCTCTCACAAGGCTTCAGTCAAGTTATTTGTCTGGGCTGCAGTCGTCATCTTAAGGCTCGTTTGCATGGTTGTTGGCAGGAATCAGTTCCTTGCCGCTTGGCTCCCCTCCATACAGCAACTGATAACATGGCAGCTCACTTTGGCAGAGAGAGTAATTAAGAAAATTTGTAGAGCATAAGGGCAGGATGGTAGTCACCTTTTTTTTGTTTTTCTTTTTTTTGGCTGCGCCTCGAGACTTGCAGGGTCTTAGTTCCCCAACCAAGGATTGAACCCAGGCCCTGGCAGTGAAAGCGCCGAGTCCTAACCACTGGATTGCCAGGGAATTCCTAGAAATCACCATCTTTTTATACCTTAATCTTGGAAGCAACATCCTATCATTTTTACCAAGTTCTATTTATTAGATGCAAGTCAGCACATCCAGTCCATACTCAAGGGAGGGGATTATACAAGGCAGTAATAGTAGGCAGGGATCATCGAGCACTATCTTAGTAGCTGCCTACCCTAGGCATGTTGCTTATAATAATGTAATATAATAACAGCTAGCATTTCTTGAATATTTGCTATGTGCCAATTATGTTACTCAGTTTGCTTGATTTAATCTTTACAACTGTATTGGAAATTTGTTGTAATCAACTCTTATTTAATTTCATGTACATTTTTTATTAAATTGTTTTGAATAAGGCACATGTGCACATTAAAATAGTTCAAAAAATTACAAAAAAGGGTACACTATAAAAAGTAGTCTTCCTTTGATCCCCAGATTTCTTCCCCAGCGGTAGCTGTTTGTTTATTTATGGCTGCGTTGGGTCTTCGTTGCTGTGCGCAGGGTTTCTCTAGTTGCGGTGAACTGGGGCTACTCTTGGTTGCAATGCGTGGGCCTCTCATTGCTGTGGCTTCTTTTGTTGCAGAGCACAGGCTTCTAGGTGCGCAGGCTTAAGTAGTTGTGGCTTGCGGGCTTTAGACCACAGGCTCAGTAGCTGTGGCTCATGGGCTTAGTTGCTTCGCAGCATGTGGGATCTTCCCAGACCAGGGCTCGAACCCGTGTCCCCTGCATTGGCAGGCAGATTCTTAACCACTGCGCCACCAAGGAAGTCCTGTGGTAGCTGTTTTTGATAATTTCTCATGAATCCATCCAGAAATAGTCTTAACACAAAATTATAAATGGGAGCATAACATATGCACTGTTTGAAGGTTGCTGGTATCCTTTAAAAATATATTTAGATCAGCAATTGATCATTGTTTTTGAGCTGTGATATTCCATGTGTAGATGTAGCATAATTTTTTGAACCATTTCTTTTTTGATGGACATTTAGGTTTCCAGTCTTGTGCTCTTACAAACAGTTCTGCAGAGTCTAATATCACTTTTATAAGTTTTATAAAGAAGGAGTCTTGAACATCAGAGATGTTTAAGTGCCTGAAGTTAAAATCCCGTGTAGAATAGGTGTTTTAAAGAATTAAAATGGTTTTTACTTGTGAATGGGGGTAGAACGGGGCCCAAGCACAAGGGTTTGGAAAAGATCCCCAGGTGACTGTGATGTGCATTTTTTGTTGATAAGCATTGGCCTGGATTATGGAGGGCAAAAGTAAGAACCCAGTATGTTAGACAGATTATCATGGCAGTTATGGGCAAAATGAATTAATTAGTGGCAGAGAAAGGAAAATCATCCAGATATAGTGATAAATTTGATATAATATGAGAATGAGTCGATTAAGATTGTATGGTTCTTACTCTGAGGTCCTAGATAAAATAGAGAACTCCCAAGAATTGGTTTTTAGAGTGAACCTAGTGAGTTCATTTTTAGACAAAAGATTTTGGGTGGTGCATGATGTAGGCATTCTGCTTTAATGTTTTGCTTATTCATAAAATTTTTTTTGATGAAACAAATAATAGACTGAATGGAATAATTGGTATCTAAGTCGAAAGAATGAAATAGCAATCGGAGACATGAGGGTTGACGGTACAGGAAAAAGATCAAGATGAAGATTTGCATATCCTTTATGTAAAGTTGTTACTGAACATCCGTGAGATGGGATAAGGTTTCTAAGGAAGAAGGCCTGAAGTAGGAGGAGGAAGACAACAGAAACTTTTATTAGATGGACCATGATAATGTAGGGTTATGAGGCCAAGAGAAGATAGAATTTGATATTGAAGGAAAGAAATTTGATTAAAACTGAGAAACCAGGTGTTGTGTAATGCAGTGTAAGCTAGTAACTTTTATTTCATTTCTGTCTGTGTTGCAATTAAAGGGGGAAAAATTGGAAAAGAGACGCTTATATGAGAGAGGCTGTTTGTTAATTTTGAAACATTGTTCGTATGTGGAGATACCTCACAGACCAACTAAGAGTTAATATTTATTTTTCATTTTGTGCTTAGCTTTTCCCACATTTGTCTATCCATATTCTCTCTTATTTTGCCCTCATTTCTTTCTTTCTTCCAAAGTTTTTAATTTTTTTGGTTGGGGGAAAGGACTGGGGGTCTGTGTTTTGCAGCCAAAGGTCATTTCCAAATCCAGCCTTGGGGAATTCTAGAGGATCTTGGCAGACAGAGAGAGTAGATAATGCAAGTTCTCTCAGGTCCAAATGACCAGTCTGTCCATCAAATGAGTAAACCTGTTCCATTGGTTTGAAAAGCAGCCATAGGACGTTCCTTAAAATATGAGAGGCATGCTTCTTTTGAAATACATATAATGAACATGTATATGAAATGGTTCTTATGATGTTTATATATGGCTACGATCTCTGTGTCCTCATATTCTAATGATGTTTTTTTTCCTAGGGTGCAAAAAGAGTGCTATTGGTCAGCACATTGTGGCAACCCTACCATATATTAACCCAGACATTTTCATCATTAATTTTTTTAGAGCGTTAGATTTTGTGTCTGACAGAGATATTTCAGAGCATATTATTTATGATTTTGAAGATCCAGAGATGATGGAAATGGTATTGCACAAGCAAAATGTATTCATAGTATTTTCATGAGATTTAAAGTTATTGACTGTTGCTAATCCTAAAACACAGTACAAAGCTGCTCTGAAGATCATTTTAGCTGTTGCAAACCCCATGCTGTTTACTGTGTAGTGCAAGCCTTCAGCCCTGCCTTGCCTTCTCTCCTGACAACTCTCTGTAAAATAGACATGAAACCTAGAGGCAGCCAGAGTTCATTGACATCAACAAGAAGAAAGAGTAGTAAGGAAAACCATAAAAGCATACTAGTCTGGCGCTATTTAGTATAAAGGGAAAAAGAGTAGTTGATACCATTTTTTTTTTTAAACCTTTTACTTTGAAATCATTTCTAATTTGTAGGAAAGTTGCAGATAACCCTCCTATACTCTGCACCCAGAATCACCAGTTGTTACCTTTGCCTCATTTACTTTAGGATTCTATTATCTATATATACGTTTTATTTTTTTCTGGACCGCTTGAGAGTAAGTTTCAGGCATTCATGCCCCTTTAATCCTAAATACTTCAGTGTATATTTCCTAAGAACCAGGACATTCACTTACCCAATTGTAGTATAATTATCCAAATCAGGACATTTAACTTTGATACAACACTGTTAGCTTTGCCATCTTATTCAGGTTTTTGCCTGTTGTGCTGATCATGTCCTTAATGGCATTTTTTTTTCTGGTTCAGAAATCTAGTCCACGATCATGTATTGCATGTTGTTTTTATGTCTCTTTAGTCTCTTTTTATCTTCCCTTGTCTTTATTTATTTATTTATTTTTGGCTGCTTTGGGTCTTTGTTGCTGCACGCGGGCTTTCTCTAGTTGCAGCGAGCGGGGGCTACTCTTCGTTACGGTGCATGGGCTTCTTGTTGCGATGGCTTCTCTTGTTGCAGAGCACGGGCTCTAGGGGCGTGAGCTTCAGTAGTTGTGGCATGCAGCCTCAGTAGTTGTGGCTCACGGGCTCTAGAGTGCAGGCTCAGTAGTTGTGGTGCACGGGCTTAGTTGCTCCGCGGCATGTGGAATCTTCCCAGACCAGGGCTCAAACCCATGTCCCCTGCATTGGCAGGCAGATTCTTAACCACTGCGCCACCAGGTAAGTCCCTGTCTTCCCTTGTATTTATCCTCAGTGTTTCAGAACACTGAAATTTTTGAAAAGGATAGGCCATTTATTTTGTAGAATATCCTCAATTTGGGCTTTTCCGTATTTCCTTATGATTAGATTCAATTTATGCATTTTTTGGCAGGACAAATACAGAGATCATATTGTGTACTTCCCAGGGCATCACATCAGGAGTCACAGGGTGTCATTTTGTCCCATTATTGGTAATATTAACTTCACAGTGGCATCTGTTAGGTTCTTCCACTGTGAAGTTACTATTTTTGTGGAAAGGTTTGTTGAGTCTAGATAAATATGCATTTCCTTAACAATTTTTTCCATTGATGATCCTTGTCTCAGGAGTAATTGATATTCTTAAAGTTGTCCTGAATTGTCCAGAGTCTTTAAGACTACAGAGAAGTAAGGTAATGTAGACCAAACACTAGTCACAGAGTTAGAAAGTGGAGTATATTTTAGTTATTAGAGTATTTATTGATATGGTTACATGACCCAAATGGATTCTTTAAATCCAACAGAGAATGAAACAAACAAATAAAATTCCCCACCCTTGTGGAACTAACATCCTAGTGCTTGGAGATAGACCATAAACAAAACATTTACGTGGTATGTTAGAACTATATGTCATGTATTTGCCATCCCTGCTATAAGGGTCAGTTAAGTTACAGGGGTGAATAAGATTATCCAGGGCAGGATGGAGAAAGGAGGGATGGGGA